CTATTAAATATAAATTGTCATTTATATAGGTGTGACTCACTCTTAACCTGATCATTATTACTTCTTCCCTTCTGTTTCTCTCATTAATGACTCTATTTAATACTGATTTTTGTTCCTTATATAATCCTCTTCTTATCTTCATTCCACCTCTTTTGCCATTTTTCCATTTCTTTACTCTTAATAAGTGTTTTACCTTCCCCTTTCCCAAAAGTCTCCACAGAGTCATTAGAGGGTTATAATCAGGGGGCTGCTCACTCCAAAGGACCTCAGCCTCCTCAGGAGGTGGAGGTCTGGCCCTTCTTATACAGGAAGTCGGTGTTATTAGTCCAGTCCAGTTTATTATTGATGTAAACACCCAGGTATTTGAAACTCTCCATGCTTTCTATGTCCTACCCCTGGATGTTCATAGGGGGGTGAGGTGGGGGTCTTCTCCTGATGTTGATCACCATCTCTTTGGTCTTACTGGTGTTAAGACACAGGTGGTTCTTTTTGAGCCAGTCCAGTCCATGCTTCAGCAGGAAAACCATGTAGAAGGATCGGCAGGTGGAGGTGATTCCCCAATCCTGCCGTGGATTGAAAAATATTGTCTTATGTAGATTTAAGAATAAAGCTGCACATCTATGAAGACATTTGTTTTTCCTTTTTTGAGTCCAGAACAGAACAAGCTTCAAAAAGATACTGTCTTCAGAACTACTGCAGATGATATGATGAACTGACCTGTGTATCTATGTTGTATATTTCTACTCTTTTTCATGTTCCTATTATTTCCTAATGTGCAACTTGTGCAATTTCTTTAATGGTTCATTCATAATGTAATGTAATTTCTTTATGTGAGGACCCCAGGGAGATTAGTGGCAACCTATTTGGCAGCTAATGGGGATCCTAATAAAACTAACTTCTCAGTCATTTTGAAGCCTTTTTGAAGAAAATTATTTTTGAAAAAAAAGAAGAGCATTACTGCACTTAAGTACTTTTTTGAGTATCTTTACTTGAGTCATTTTTTGTTTTTCCAGGAAGCTGTTAGTTCCTTCTTCCTTTTGGTTCAGCATAGCTTTTTAATCCTCTGTTTCTGTTTTTCCATCCATCATGGCAGATAGCAGCCCTTAGAACTGAATCTGGACGCCACTGATTTGCAGAATTAATGACGTTCCACAGATGAGAGGAACTCAGAGCAGATATTATTAGTACCGTAGTTTATAATTTGATAAGTTATTGTCATGTGGCCAATCTGTTCAGTAGGATGAGTCTCAGATCAGAGTTATAGTTTCTTTGTGGTCATAGATTGAACCTTTAACCTCTATTCTATAAAGAAAAAGTGAGGACAATCAAGACTCTCCTGTTTTATTTTTGGTTTGTTTTTAAATACAAAATAATGATAAAATAGTCCTTATTTTTTATGCTAAACACATTTCAAGGTGGGGTAGAATCTATAATCTGAATCTGAAAGTTACACAGTTCTTTAAAATTACTCTGAAATACACAGAAATGTTCTGATATTAGAAAATGTAATTTGTATTTTTGGATACTTAAGTATTTTCAAAAGTTAGTACTTCAATACTTTAACTAGATTAGGTGTTTGACTGAGTAACATTTACTTGTAGTTGAGTAAGATTTGACAATGAGTATCAATACTTTTACTAAAGTACTACAGTTGAGCACATCATCCATCACTGCCTAACCCTGTCAATACCCCTAAACAGAACCCACTGTCCCCACAAGGTAACAAAAACAAGTCCACACACAATAGCATCATGTTATAAACAACAAACTGTAAAAAGAGGCCTTTTAATGTATTTTCTCACCAGAGTGCCATATATTACATATTTTTATCTAGCTTTTCCTGGTTAAAGTCTGACTCTCCAGGATCCAATCGGGATAAATCCACTGGAATGTTGCTGAAGTTGAGATCCGGGATCTGAGGGTCTTGATGGCGTTCCTGTTACCATGGAAGTTGAACCTCAGACAGAAGAACGGGGCTCTAGGTAAAAGTCCGGAGTTGGTGGGATTCACACATGGGGGGATTTATCATTAGGCAATACTAAGCAGCTGCCTAGGGCCCCAAGTTCCTGGGGGCCCATAAAACTCTTTTTACATGTATAGTTAATACAACTATTCCATATTTATGCACATTAATTATGTTTTTGATCAAAATCCTTTCACTAAAACGCCATCAGAACGCTTATAATACTAAGTGTGTCTCTAAAGTGTATAATGTAATGATGTAATCATGTGATGATGTGGCAGACTGAAGATGTATAAAATGCCTCTTTAACTGTTAATCAGGGCCTCTTTTTAAGAAGTGAGCCCGGGGTTATGCAGCTGTCTTCTGTAACTAAAAGCCACTCCTCTGATCTGAGTAAGATTACAACTTCTATCAAAATCTGTTGTCATGTCTCACGGTTATTTAATACATATAACTTATGAAGTGCTATTTAAAGAGTTTGTCTCAAGTGATCTTTTTTTTAGGAAAAAGAACCGGAGAGATAAAGCTTCAAGGTGTAGACATAGACAGCTTATCTTTAACAAAAAAACAGTGCGAAGAGCAGTGTTGCCAACTTAGCGCTTTTGTCGCTATATTTAGTGACTTTTCAGACCTCTAAAGCACTTTTATTACAAAAAAGCCCCTAGTGCCAAATCTAGCGACTTTCTTCTGCTATTGGAGACTTTGGAGACAACATCTAAAAGCAGCGAACTCTGCTCTCCAGAGCCAGTAGATTGGTAACCCCGCCTCCTGCTCTCCTCTATCGTGTCTGCTGTCATGATTCATGCAGCTATTATTAAATCTAAATGAAAAATGGAGAACAGAGAAGCAGATCATGGCTTGTCTACAGTGAAAAGAAGGACTGGGTTATTTACTTTGGCCGTCGCCTTTTTGGAAAGTGAGCTTAGTGACTGAAACAAATCTTTCATTCCTTTTGATGAAAGCTGAGTACAAAACATAGAGAGGAAAACAACAAGAAAAGGGACAAGAAGAGAGGGGAAAAAACTAGAATAAATAATGGATGTCTATTGTATTAACATTTCTCTATCTGTATAATGGGTCTGTTTTATGTGTTTTCTCAATTCAGAGGGCCTCCTGCCTGTCTCTGCCTAGGGCCCCGAATATCCTAAATCTGTCCCTGGATTCAATAATCATGCTTGGTGACCAAGCCAACTGATATTAGCAATACAAGCAATCATTAACATTTGACTTAAAGCAGTAATGAGCAGTGAAGGCATGTTACAGTGACTGTTGGAACAAGCTGGCTACTGTGAAAAGTTTATGAGAGGTCACCATCAGAATGCTGTCCTTGATGGAGATGCAAGAACATTTCTATCACCCAGAATCCAACATGGCTGCCACAGCACGGGGGTAATGTAACATTGATCTCCTGTTTTGGACTTTTTTAGATCAGTTGTTCATAAAGTTGAAGTCAGTCTCTATTGGTGAAGATGCTACTGAGAAAGTTTTTTTTTTCCTGACTGTCCCGGTGTCACTACCCGATCCGTTCCGGAAGCACAATCCGTCCTGCTCATGCGCCATCAGCTCATTTGTGCATCCAGATAGATATCTGGGTCGTCGATTTTATTTTGTTAAAAATACCTAGATGACGTTTTCCCTACCCCAAAATAGTAAAGGTATTAAAATATAATGTGTTAAATGTTAATAATGTATTTCCTGAATAAATAAAAGCCTTAAAATTCTGTTTTATCCCTCGTCTCTGCCGATCTGCACCGGAAATGGGATCTATGCTACTTCCAGTGGCTAACTTTTTCGGCTTTGGATTTGAACATAAATCTAATCTTTTTGAGTTTTATGTGTTCGTTTCGTTTTAACCTCCTGCTATATAGTGCGTAATCTAAAAAAAAGAAACGACTAAAATCCAGATAAAAATGGTTAATCATATTTAGCCAAACTGCTCTGAGCATGTCACGCGATCACGTAAGAGAAGCTGTTTAGAGAAGAAAATGTAAAAAGCATCAAAATTGTCCCACAGAAGTCATAAAACATTTTGTTAAAGATGTTTATTAGCATTCTAAGTGAGTTAAGGATAGAAATAAGTAGGTTTAGTACCATAATTACATTATTTATGGATAGCCAATGTATATCTATTTGCGCATGCGCAGAACGGATCGTCCTTCGGGGACGGATCGGGTAGTGACATCCTGGGTGTTGTTCTCGCCCCTCCCTCTTTACCCAGCATGCATCAGCAGACCTGTCTGTTCTTGAGACTGACAGCAGTCCCAGCATGCACTGCAGCAGCAGCAGCTTTCAATGGAGCGCTCACAGAGCTCAGAGCATTAAATTAAAAGTTATCTTTTCTGTTGCTGTTGTTCAATAAAAGTACGTTTTAAGATCCTTTGAGGCGGGAATATTATACTTTAAAGCATCACTATATGGAACATTTACCAACTTAATGCGTAATTAAACATTTTTTTTCCAAAGTTGAGAGGACCAGAGCAACCAGTGGACCTCCAAGGCTAACGGCAGCCTGGTTTAATCCTAGCCCGTCTGCAGCAGCCCTCGCTCTGCATAGCCATGTGTGAAGGACCGCTGGCATTTGATTTGTGTTTATCGGACTGTGTTCATTATTATTCCCCGAATAAATGAAAAAAAAAAAAGTTTATTATTATCTAGAGAGAAATAATAACAGGAGGTGAAATGTAGCTCCAGACTAGCCGAGCGTGTGGTGATGTCATCAGTACGCTTCTGTTCCAATTGACCCAGATTTATGCATCGTGCTCCATCCTCCCCAAGTCTACACTTTCCTGTGTTCTTCTTAAGAACGGACTTGGCGAGGACACGAGTCTGTACTCGCGTTCTTGTGAAATGGTAATAGACGGGTATGGGGCACTGCAGGCTTACAAAGAAGCCAAGTGACACCCATTCCAAATGGGTGGATCCGTTCGTCCGTCTAAATTAGCATGTTTTCTAAACAAAAACGAGGCTTTGTTGGGCTACTGTATAAAGCTTTGAACTCAACGCTATTTCTGACATTTTGAACTGAAAAAGCTTCCTGGATGGGAGGCGAAACGTCTACAAACTTGGAAACAAAGTCATGTGGATTGTTTTTTAACGTTTTTGGAATGACTGTGACCTGGATGAAAGAGAACCTTCACCAGCATATCTCCTCATAATGTTTCAGCGATTCATCTCATTCGTTCTGCATAAAAAAAAAAAACAAAGATTGTTGAAAGAAGTGCTTAGTTATTCTGTGGTTGATTTAAAAAGTCATTTAAGGAGGCTGGGAGGGGCCCTGCTACCGTGGGACAGAACCCTCGACAGCCACACATAGAAACCTTTATAAAAATATGTTTTAAAATCCGTCATAGGTAAATATTCATCATAATAATACAACATATGGGCCCCATTAGATGGGAGGAGTGCTGAGAGCAGTACCAGTGTCTGTAAGACAGGAATAGCGGGGCCAGAACCCCTCAGCAGGTATCAGTCTGCTCCTCCAGACCCAGCTGGGATCAGAACCAGGATCCTCTACTCGCAAGCCGACACGCTGCTGATCTTTGCTGTGTTCTCGCTCCAGGGTTGGAGGTTCTGCAGGGCATACAGCGAGCTGTTCTGCAGGCACAGTGGGTCAGGTGCTACCGGCTGGTTGATGGTTTTCTGGAAGGCCTCCTGCTGCAGCTGCATCAGAATCCGGTTGGCCTGCTGCCGCTCTGCCTCACGCTCCTCTGCTGTCTGCCGCCTGCAGAGAGGATGGAGAGAGTCAGTGGCTGCCACTACTTCACTGGACATCTACGGGAATTCTTCTCAGAGTCAGGGGTAGATTTAGGTAATATGGGGCCCTAGGCAAAGACAGGCGGGGGCCCCTCTGAATTGAAAAGACATCACATAAAACAGATAGATATAGATACTGAAATGTTAATAGAATAGAC